GCTTCAGCCCGCTGTCTGGGCAGGGGGGAGCACGCGGGGGGGCGGGGGGGGGCTGGGCCCTGGTGAGAGGCCTGCGGCTCCCTCTGGGGCCTGGGGAGGTCCTGCCGGCGGTCAGCCTGGGTCTTGCAGAGGAGAGAAGACTTGGCATCTCCTCTCACTGTCCTGTGGTCCGAAAGCTTTCTCAGGGTGTGACCTCACTTAGCTCTCACCAGCATCTCTGAGGGCTGGGGAGGGGCCCTCAGGGCCAATGGAATCCCATCTCGGGGCCAGGGTTGACTCCCCAGAACTAGACACTTGGATCTCTGCTCAGATTCCTTTCCACAAACACTAACCCTGAAGAAACGAGACCAGCTGACGTGGAGCCGAGACACAAACACCCTTTCTTTCCAGCTCTCTCTCCATGCGCAGCTTCTGGGGCCTTGGTGTGTGGGGCCCCTAGAACCCTAGCTCAGGCACCCTCCCTCCTCCACATGGCACTGCCAGCCCTACAAACCACAGCCCCGGCTATCTGCATTACCCAAGTCCCGCAGGGCCCGGACCGGGTACACACAGAGCTGCCATTTCTGACGAAGAAAGCACACGTGTTTGGGGGCTGCTGCGTGCTGCAGGGTGGTGCACACATGTACGCACGTGCTGATCTCCTGGCGGCACCCCCTTTCATTTTCTGGGTAGGAGTCTGTTGCTAAAAGTGCTTCCCTGTTCCCCAGGGAAAATGTCAGGGATGTATGCGGCCCGAGTGGTGCTGACTCTGCTCTTTGGAGGGTGTCTGGGGAAGCTGGGCCGCATGCTACCCTGTTCTGGGCAGGGCTGGCGATGGGCCCCAGCAGGAGGGAGGACTGGCCCTGCCCCAAAACTGTCGGTCAGGAGGACTCTGAAGGGAGGTGGTCCCCTAATGAGCTTGGCTGCTCCTCCTCCCTAATGGGGAGGTATGTCTTTGCAGCCTGGCCTGGGAGGTGGGGGCAAGAGTAACCAGGGCCTGTGACCTGCAGGGACGCCTGGGCTATCTGGGAGAGCAGCAGAGGCCACTCTAAGGCCCTCTGCAGCTGACTCACTGGCTCTCACACACACATTACACTCTGCTGCCACCCATCCAAACATAAAGGCTCAGATACACAAGCTTGCCTTTGTCACACACACTCTCACATCCATAAATATGTGTGCACACACACACACACAAACATGCATTTTCATATGCATATGCACCCTGAGGTACATATCTTATATATACACTAGGGGCCCAGTGCACGCGTTCGTGTACCTTGAAAGGAACTGGGGCCGAGAGGCTGTGGTGGGCACAGGGGTGGGGCTTGGTCCATCTTCCACCTCCCCGCCTGGCCCCTCCTGCCACAGCCCCCGGTCCCCTGTCTTCCAGCAGCCCTGGTCCTGCAGCAGCTGCTCCCACATGCTGATGGCTCCAGCCCTGCTCATACCCGCCGATGGTGAGGAGCAATTGGGATCGCCCCTCAGGAGCAGGGGGAGGTGGAGAAGCCCTCCAGGGCCATCGGGGCCAGCAGCCACTGTTCGCACCCGCTGACGGCGCCAAGCTTTCGGGACCGGCACTGGGAGCTGGCAGCAGGTGTGAGCGGTGGCTCTGACACCAGCCATGGGTGCGAGCGGGGCCAGAGCCACAGCAAGTGCAAGGCCTGGCGGGACCACAGCGTGCAGGAGCAAAGAATTTTCAGTAACCACCAGAGGTACACCCTGAAGACAGCAACTGGTGCCCCGCCTTCGTCTGGCACCTCTGCTCACCATCCCACCGTGGCCGACTCCCGCCATGCTCCATGCATGCCCCCTGGTGGTCAGTGCATGTCATAGTGACCGGTTGTTCGGTTGTTCTGCCATTCGGTCTATTTGCATATTAGGGTTTTATAGATATAGATATAGTATTGATTTCAGAGAGTAAGGGAGAGAGAGAGATAGAAACATTAATTATGAGAATCATTGATTGGCTGCCTCCTGCACTCCCTCTACTGGGGATGGAGCCAGCAACCGAGGCATGTGCCACGGGACAGGGAATCGGACCATGACCTCCTGGTTCGTGACTTCCTGGTTCATAGATTGACATTCAACCCCTGAACCACACTGGCCAGGGATACACATCTTAACTGCCACTGTTTATTGAGTTTTCAGTGGGTGCCAGGCCCAATATGAGCTGTGACATAGATTCTCTTTTGTCAATCTCACAACCACCACCTGGATCCCATTTTACCAGTGAAGAAACTAAGGCTCAGAGAGGTGAGGTATCTTACTCAAGGTCACTCGGCAGCAAAGTGAAGTCAGAATCAGAATCCAGGTCTGGTTGCAAAGCTAATGAGTACACTGTACACAGGAGTGCACACACAGGCACACACATAGACACTCAGGCTGGGGAGGGGCATTGTGGAGCAGCCCCTCCCACCAGGGGGGAGAACACAGGCTGCTGGCCCCCTTGCAGGCCTCACAGGGCTGACCAGAGGACCTCCGGGCTCTGGATGCTGCTCGGAGAAGAGGCGTTTGGGGTTTGGATTTAGATTCAGCTCTGCCAGCTTTATCACTTCCTGTGTGGCCTTGGAGACGGTGTCTCCCCTCTCGGAGCCTGGGTATCTCCACCTACGAAATAAGGATTATGGTATCTACCCTCCCAAGTTGGGGGTGAAGTTAAAATAAGATACCACAGTTGCCTGGCACATATCAAGAACTTAATAACTCTAGCAAACAACACATAATTTACATGTGCATAATTACATAATGATAAAATGACAGGAATTACATGCATAATTTATACCTCACAACGACTCCATGAGGTGTGGGTGCTGTCATTTAACGGATGAGGAAGTAGATCTAGAGAAATGAACCGACCTGCCTGAGGTCAGCGGGAAGCCAGCATTTGGAGCCAGGCAGGGGAGAGGGAAGGCCCCTGCCCGCTGCCCGCTCTGCCCTGGCTGGCATGGCCTGTCTGCCAGCGGCTCCCCTACAGAAAGCCCTCCAGGGAGGGTGAGCATTGGAGGGAGGAGGAGAGGAAGGCTCTGGGGGGAATGAGAACAAAAGACGGCTGGTGGCTTTCTTTGTACCTTGAATTTCTCTGCAAGGGCAGGAAGCACCGATTATTCAGGAAACCTGCCCACTGAGATCACAAGCTGGAGAGAAGTCTCACTTGTGAAGAGGGACAGAGTGGGGACAGCTGCCCCTTTCCTCTGGGCAGAGGTAGGCCATCTGGGTGGGAGGCCCCTTGGGCGTGCCCTGCAGATCTCAGTGTGAATCCCTCCTCCACCTACCAAGGTGCCTTCCCTCCCTGAGCCCCAGTTTCTTCTTTTGCACATTGGAGTTAGTGTGCTCTGCCTGTGGGCTGTAAATGAAAATGATGCAGGCAGCTTGCCCCAGTGCCCGCTGTCTGTAGCAGCTCAATAAACGGAAGCTGTTTTATTTATTATCCAGGAACCAAGTGTCCCCTCTACGAACCCATCCCTCCCCACCTGCCCCCTGCCCCCAAGTCAGGGAACTGCCCCAGGAAATGGAGGCGGAAAATGGAAACATAGAGGTGGTCTCCTCTATGTCTATTGAGGTCACCTGCCCCAAGAGATCCCGTAACGAGTGTTCTCTCTTTCTAGAAGCTAGGAGACATGAGTTCCCTGACTTTCCTGGAAACCACATCCAGGCCAGAGAATGGAGTTTAGAAAGGAGAAGGGGAGCCCCAGCCCATCCCAGGAAAAGCTGCCACCTCAGGTGGCAAACTATGACCTCCCACACCCACGCCTGCCTTCCTAGGCCTCACCCTGGGAGGCAGAGGGACAGACAGGACCGTTCCTGGGAGCCTGAGCTATCACAGCAAGGAAGCAAAGGGCTTCCCCCAGCCTGCCTCACACTAACTGCACCCTGGAGCCCCTGCATATGGGGAGCTCACTCCCCCCACCCCCCACTCTGTCCCCAACCCATCCATCCTCCACAATCTCCTGCAGAGGGAGGTTGACCCCTGCCCCTCCCACCCACGTTATCCTAAATGTCTCATAGGAGAGAGCATCATGATGCATATGAGGAAACGGAGGCACAGGGAGAGGAAGAAGCTGGCCCAAGGCCACCCCCATTCTGCACCTTCCTCTTCTCCCTAAATCCCCCAAAAAGCCCCAGGACGGAGACTGTGAGGGACTGCCCGTGCCTACTTTGTCCGGTGCAGAAACAAGCACACAAGGAGGAATGGTTTACCCGAGGCCTCGGCTAACACACTTGAACCTGCGTCCGGGCTGTGAACCCCTGGGAGGTTTTAAGTGAAAGCGCCTGGAAAGGCAGGTCCTTTATTATTATTATTATTATGTCACTGAAAGCACGGGGATTAGGTGGTTAGGACATCAGCCCAGCCTTGGGTGTCAGCTGCTTCACTTGCCGTGTGATCTCCTCGGTGACGTTACTGTCCTGTGCCTTGTTTTCCCCATCTGTTAAAGGGGCAGGTGGCAGGGTTACCCGAGGCCCTGCCTCTGCGCTCCTCCAGAGAGGAAGGGAGAGGGAGAGAGAGAGAGAAACATCCATGATGAGAGAGAATCATTGATCGGCTGCCTCCTGCATACCCCCTATTGGGGATTGAGCCCGCACCCCAGGCATGTGTCCTTCCCCAGAATCGAACCCGGAACCCTTCAGGCCACAGGCCGATGCTCTCTCCACTGAGCCAGACCAGCTAGGGCTGCACTCTTCCTCCTTGAAAACACCCAGTGTGTGCAGAGTTCTTTGACAGTCTTGTCTGGCGAGGTGGCAGCGTGCTAGTATGCCTCATTTACTTTAAGGTGTTCTTGAGAGGTGCATGGCTCACTGGTGAGGAAATCTTTGCTCCAAGAGCCCCTGCTTCTCTTACTCCTAACCTCAGCTTCCCCAGGGTCTGGCTCCCGGTGTGTGGTTGCATCAGAGCTGCCTGCCCGTCAGGTGTGGGTTCCATGAAACTCCAAGAGGGGGGCATTGTGTGTCCTTGGGCAGCGTTGGCAGTGAGGGGGAGAAAAAGGGCCTGCTCTTCCTCTGCCCCTGTTCAGGCCCTCCCTCCACGTGCAGCGCCACTGACCGTGAGCAGTCGGGTCGCCTTCAGCCACAGCGTGGAAGTGGAGTGTCTGTGAGTCTTTATGGTCTGTGGCAGCATTACCGATGTCACCTAAAATTTAGCAAAGCACGTATGCCATGTTTTGGCCACCAAGACAGCTTTGCTACTGTCCTGCTCAAGCCCAGTCTTTTTTTTTTTTTTTAGATATATTTTATTGATTTTTCACAGAGAGGAAGGGAGAGAGATAGAGAGTTAGAAACATCGATGAGAGAGAAACATCAATCAGCTGCCTCCTGCACATCTCCTACTGGGGATGTGCCCGCAACCCAGGTACATGCCCTTGACCGGAATCGAACCTGGGACCCTAAAGTCCGCAAGCCAACGCTCCATCCACTGAGCCAAACCGGTTTCGGCTCAAGCCCAGTCTTAAAGGGACAAAGATTATTGCAAGTCAGACGGGCCTGGGTTCAAATGACCTTCAGCAAGTCACTTCATCTCAGCCTCAGTGTCCTCATCAGCAAAATGGACCCCCAGAGGGGATTAACTGAGATCATGTGGCAAAAGCTCTTAGGACAGTGCCTGGCACAGAGTAGGTGTTCCCCTACTAAGCAGTGGAGTTACCCTCAGTAGAGGAGCCAGCCGGAGGCAGGGGGATGTGGGGGTGAGATGGCTACTTCTGTCTTTCCAGTGGCTCCAACAGGAGCTGGGGCTGGACCACGACCGGGAGCAGCAGCATCCTGGCAGAGTTTGGATCCCTGCACTTGGAGTTCTTACACCTCAGTGAGCTCTCCGGCAACCAGGTCTTCGCTGAAAAGGCAAGTCTTCTCCCTGCCCCTCCCCAAACAGCCCCTCCGCCTTCTCCCCACAGAGAGCAGGAGGGGGGGCACTCAACCCTGCACGGCCACAGGAAAGGCTCCCAGATGGGCAGGGTGGTGCATGGGGAACACAGAGCCCCCTAAGTTATGGTGGGAGACCTGACTCTACCCAATCCCAGGTGGCAGGGAAGACGAGCACGGGGAGTAGTCAGGACCCTACAGAGGGCAGGGAAGAGACAAAGCTGCCAGTATGTGTCAGCTTCTGGCAACCACCCATACGCGGGTCTGGGTCTGCAGAAAGCGCAGCGGCTAGAACGTAGGCACCAGCTCGAGGTGGCAGGAACGGGCCATTGGCTGTTAAAGCCGCCTTTCCAGAGACATTTAACTTTTTCCTGCGAGATCTGCCTGGCCTTTCCTTACAGATGCCCCTCTAGCTCATGCCATCAGCAGGTGGCACAGCTATTTCCACTCCCGGGAGAGGCACATGACCCCTCCTTCTCACTGGTACCAGGCTGGCTAAGCTGAGAGATGGCGTCCAGGCTGCCATCCATTCTGATAGCGGCCATTCCTCTGGGAGGCCCTCCAGAAGGGGCAGTTTCTCCCAGCCTTGGCAGTCCCACTGTCTGGAAGTGTCACTGTGGGTCTAACCCTAAACCCTCAGATGACACTCGGGCTCCATGGCAGGGAGGTGAAGCCCTGCCCTCCAAGAAGAACCCTCAGGAGGGCCCCACTCCCAAAGCCTTCTTTCCCCCTAATGGTTAGTTAGCCAGGGCTGGGAGCTCCTAGCCACTCTCTACCCAGCGGCTCCCAGTGGCCGGTTAGCCCGCCAGCCTCAGAACATCACCCAGCAGGCCCTGGCCCTGGGGTCTGCATTTTTAACAAGCGCTCATGTACTTTTTGTCACGGGGTTTAGGAGCACTGCTTAGTGTGGGAATCCAACCGCCTTCTTGAGAAAACGCTTAAGAAGAGCAATTCAAATCTTTGACCATTTCCTCTGTATTGGGGCTCACTACCACCCTTAGATAGCCCATCACGCTGTCAGACCTTGTATGGAGAGGACTCTGCCTCCCCGTGACACTGCACCTCAAAAGGTCATGCCGTTACTTTAATCCACTTCCCAGTGAATCTCACTGGCTGATCCTTTCTCCCACCTCCACGTCCTCCCTCCCCCCAGCCTCCCTGTTTCCATTGCTCTTGAGCCAGCTCCGCCAGGAAGATTGTGGTCGGCTCAGGATGGAGCAGGACCAGCAGCTCCCTCTAGTCCCTGGCTAGTCTGGAGGTAATTAGCTACTACTGCCTGAGCACCTACTGTGTGCTGGGCACTTAGAGTGTCTCTAACCCTCCCAACAGCCCTAGGAGTCAGGTCTTCCTGTCATCCCCATTTTACAGGGAAGGAAGCTGACACTCAGAGGTTAAGGCACTTGTCCTGGACCATCCATCTGGGAAGTGCTAAAGCCAGGATTCAAATCCAGGACTTCCTGTCTCTGAAGCCCACGCTCGTTCAAGAGCAGATTAATACGACAGGCTTCAGGCTTTTCCTCCCGGGTCCGCGCTCCGTTTCTCTGTCTCCCTCTACATTTACATTCTCCAGCTTTGTGCATCCCCCAGCCATGCCTCCCACAGAGGCGATTATTGGCAGTCAACAAATTGGCCCAAATTCTAGAAGCGCCCGCACCCTCTGGGGGAGCTCATTTAGCCTGCTCCACTGCTTTCCACCAGGACAGCCGCGAATAAGTCAGGTGCAAGCACATTCCTGTCCCCGTAATGGACTGCATTAACATAAATGGATGTGAGGTCTGATGTGGCAGAGCAATGCCGTCCCCTGTAAAGAAAGGGCTGGCAGTCAAAGGCTGCTTTCCCTGCTCCTTGCCCTGTAGGTGAGTCTGTGAGCAGACACAGTACGGTCCCCGCGGGCCTTTCTCCCGCAGGTCTGCACTGGGAGGGTTCGTGTGTCCCTGAGGGATAAGGCCTTCCCACTTTTACAGCCCAAAGCCCCCTTGCCCTTGGTATGCCCAAAGGTTGCAAATCTAGCTTCCTCTTGCTCAGGTGGGGCACCCTCCGCTACAGGTCGCTGCATGGTCCCCGCCTGGTCCATGTTGGACCCAGGGGCTGCTCTGTTTGGTCAGAAATTGTCCTGGCCCTGCCACTTACCTAGTGGGTAGCCATGGGCAACCACTGACTCTCTCCAAGATTCGGGCGTCTTGTCTGTTAAACTGAGCTAGTGATACCACATAGGTTGTTCCAATGATTGGAGATGATATATGTAACAGTATGGCTCAGAGGAACTGAGAAATGTTATTACAACCTGAGGTGCTACCCTAACCGGTTTGGCTCAGTGGATAGAGCGTTAGCCTGCGGACTGAAGGGTCCCAGGTTCGATTCCGGTGAAGGGCATGTACCTTGGTTGCGGGCACATCCCCAGTAGGATGTGTGCAAGAGGCAGCTGATCGATGTTACTCTCTCATGGATGTTTCTAACTCTCTATCCCTCTCCCTTCCTCTCTGTAAAAAAATCAATAAAAATAAAAAACCTGAGGTGCCTATGGTGTATCGAGCCCAGGCCTCCCCTCTGGAATGGTTCCTATGGTGTCAGAAAAAAGAACATATTACCAGGTTAACCATATGAAATTGCCAATGTTTGACCATTTCTGACCTATTAAAAAGGCAGTTTTACCTGGTACTTAGAAAACAGCTACCATCCCTTATGTGAATCCTCCCTCCTATGAAGACCCTCCCCGCCAAAAGCAACATGCAATGAGGAAGGGGTGAGATGA